CATATTATCCTGTGTTTACATCAGTTCTTCCCAGGCGCTCTGGTTTCCTCCCACCTCTCATAGACGTACAGAGTTCAAGAGATTCTCCATTTCACAGTGACAATGAACCCTTGGATATGGAAGACTGGATAAACAGTCAAAAACATATTCACAGATATGTAGTTCACAATTTTTTGTGATCACATAGTATTTTAATTAGTATACCATATACTGTACTGCCCCTGGAGAATACATACATTTACTTTGCAGGATATCTCTGTTCCCTGCTTTGCTGTCATATATTATTACAACCTTTACCCTCTGATGCTCAACAGATTACTTTTGAACAGCATAATGCTAAACAGATTTAACCTATATTTAACCATAACCTACTGTATATGTTCTGACATCAACAACAGTCAATGCACCTTTTGAATTCGTGATGCCCAAATTCATTTGTAACTTGCTTCTTTTCCATTTGCATATTTCGAAATTATTCAACATTTGAACAGGCACAAGTATCTCAGAGTATGAAAACAAAAGGGGAAACTAAGAGATAGACGATTAAGGCTTTTTAAAAGGTTAGGTTGTATTTCACAGCTTTCAGAGTTACCTTTTACCTTTTCCATACCAAATGACAGAAACATTAATGAAATACAATCAGGTAAGTCCCTGAAATGTTCTTGATTTGTTATTGTTTAGTACTTGAGTTTTGTTATTCTGAGGTCTTTGGCACATCTCACATTGGCATCTAAGTATCAGCTTTACTTCTCTCCAAGTAGTTTTACTCAACTTGTTCACAAAACAATCTTCAACACATAAAAATTCAAGATGCATTATAGTGATATAGCAATAATGACATACTGTATATTAGTGACTCTTTTCTGTTTTATTCTTTCTATTTTAATGATAATATGTCACTGTGCGCTGCAAAAAAAACAACAACTGCATTTCTCTGACGTTAACTTAATATTTTTAGTTTATTACCATCTGGGTTCCACAGAACATAGATTGATGTCTTAATTATGCTGGGACACAATTGTTGACATTAGCACTTTTCAGTACCTTCTGATATAACTAAGCCTGACAGGGAGGCTAATTGTTCAGTGAAGGTCCTTTCCCTGGAGGAGGTGTTTGAAGATTAAACAATTAATTCAAAAACACTAGAAAGAACTACCCCAAAAGGGTTTTCAGGCTATTGGTAGAGGCAGTGTTAGGAGTAAGGGGTAGATGCTGCATTTGATTAAATTCATTCCCTCGATCAATAATTACATTATGGTTCTTTTCATTTGAAATAAAATGATGGGTAGCCACTACTGACAGTAACTACGCACTGATATTTTAAAGCAGACTATCAAGTTGAATTGAATTACAGCATGTGCTTATAAATACAGATGATCCACCATCATGTCTGACTACTTTTTAATTGATCCACCAGGACAACCTAAAGCAGCCATCAGATCCCTCATAAAAACACAATCAGCTGCTCTATTCATAATGTCAATGCATTGATTCATAATGAAAGAATGCTAAACCTGGGATCACATACATTCCTGTCATAAGGAAATGACACTATGTGCTAAGAGTATTCTGAAATACTGCAGATGTGGAACATTTTTGGTGGGGAACTGCATTTCTGCTTTGTATTGCCTTCTCCATTTAGCCGTCTCCATGCAGAAGTTCATGCCATTCTGACGCCTACTGTGAATTGATAGTGCCTTCCAACTGTCCAGCCACCAATGTGCTTCCAACGTATGTCTTCAAACAGGGTAGCCTGAATACCCTGTGCCAATATGTACAAACAATGATGTACATGAAAACAAGCAAGTGAACTCAGATTTAAGTAGCTGTACTTAATGCCTTTCATAAACCTAAGATTTCCTAAGAAAACATCTAAGACGAACAGCCTTAAGATAGCCTTAAAGGTCATCATGATATTTAAACCATGCCCTGCCATCAAAAGTTGGAAAACGACCTTTATGTTATGGCTGTTTTCTATAATCTATAAACACAGTACCTTCTCTTTCTACGCCCCAAAGCACTTAAAATCTAATTCTATCCCTAAGGAAATCAGAAAGTCGCCTTCTCTGAGCACTTTCAAGACACAAAACCTTCTTCTTAAGAAGGGCTTTTTTTAACTGGTTCTGTGTCTGGACCTATGCTTCCCTATTGTATTCCAAACCCTTATTGTACTTATGTAATTCTGCTGTCACCGCTCATTGTGTGCGTTTCTTCCTACTGTAAAGCACTTTGAGAAGTCACTTTTAAAGGCACTATTTAACATGAATAAGTTTATTATTATTTATTCCAGTAGATTTCATGTTTAACAAAGTGCTTATCACTCCTGGCTTGAATATTCAATGTAAAACAGTATAGGCCCGGGTTCTTAAACCATACTCTAGGTCTAGGCCCAGAGCAGACCCACTGGGTCATGAACACCTCACCTTGGGGCCGCACCATTCACCATTCAGGCAAGGCCTGAACCTCCATTTCATCTCCTACTTGAACATTTTACCCGGGCATGTTCGCCACCCAGGAAAAATGATTCATCATAATGCAGTGAGCTGTTACTTTAGATGTTTTACTAGAAATGCTTAAGAACACATGGTTTAAAAATACATATAGTTTATTTTGAGATATGTTCACATACCTTCAATAAAAGACAGACAACATCTTGATCTCATAAACACATTTAATGGACAACTAGATCATAGAAAGTGTGAGGATGTACAGTAGAGGCAGGGATCATCTGAATAAATATTTTGTGTTGCTCTGTCTGGATATGCTTGTTTCTTACATGCTTGATAAACTTTTTTTCTAGTTTTAAGCAAACTCCCTGGTCAGTTTTCCACATTGCCTGTTACTGTCATGGGAATTCCCTTGATCTCAATGACTTCAGATAGATATTTTGCTTTTGAAGTGGAGGGGATGGGGGTGGATAAAAGTCAGGGTATCGCTGAATAGTTTTCAAAGCCGGACATCAAATTAAAATAGTACAATAATTGACGAACGCATAAAGGTTAGAAAGGTGATGTGTTAATATAATAAAAGTATGTTTGTTATTATTATTGTTGTTATTATTATTATCATTGTGAAATTGTTTTGAAACAATATATTTTGCAATTCCCCTTTTTGATATTAAATGGAATTCATGAACTAAGAGGCTTTGGAACAGTAAATTATGTGGATACACTCAACAGCTGATTCTGCGTGGAAACTAATGAGTCCTGCACACTGAACTGAAACCGGTTTTACAACAGCACCTCTGGCTCTGAGGCTCCCTGGGAAGCCAAAGTGCTCAGCAGACCTGGTCACCATCAGCTCTGCAGGCCATGGCTGATTTACATTAACCACAGTAAACCATAGTACATTAATCTAAAGAAATAATTGGTAAAGAACTGCTTTTCCACATCATTAGCAGATAGATATATATTCTATATTTTGTCTTCATGGTAGCAAAAATGATGCTGACCGTTTCTGTATGTCTCTACATTTGAAGTTACACATGTGTTTCTTTGATCCCAGTTACAGAAGTGTTCAGAGTTATATAGGAATTGTACCGTACAATTAACAGAGAGGCAATAAACTACCACATACAGTACTACAGTACATATCACAAACATTATTAGACTTCAAAAATGGAAAACCTTTTTTATTTTACACTTGCAGTTATGCATCATACAATATAACTCCCAGCAAGTAATTCTTTACATTTTAGCATTTTGCTGGAGACATGTATTTATTTATGCCTTTGCAAACCTGAAACATAAAGCATTTATAGAGCTCTGGACTACATTGCTTGTGACGTTTTGAATTGTTTGCAGCGCAGATCTAAAATATTGTGGGTGGAGAAACAGTTCATGTTAGCAACATGTTCTTCAGATGTAAGGTGCACATGGTATGCAGGTGCACAAAATATAATAAATTTCATTCCATTTACATCTCCGGTATTTCTTCTCTGTGAACCTCAGTTTATGGCTGCTTCCTAATGCATGGGTCCAACTAAACAAGAATAAAACAGTTTCTTGTGCTTTATGTACTAAGTGATGCATTTGATTGTATATGTGTTCACTGTACAAAACAACAAGTATTTCTAACCAACTGCACATGGAATATGGATTAAAGGGGAAGTTCTCAAAGGTTGGATTGGCACTGCAGATGCACGTCTCACATGTGCTTTTGCTATCAAGAGAGTAAAGGAAAGCCCTGTGTCTCTGAAAGATAGGTGACAGCAGTCATCCATTCCCTTGACTAGATCCTATTTCTCTCAATTGGCCTGTCCTACAATAGACAATATGGGTCCACAGAACAAATACAGCATTGGTTTGTATTTATACTCTATATCCATTTTTACACATTTATCTTTCAGATAAAATGTATCTCACGCTCATACACTTACATAATTAATTGGGAATAAACAGCTACAGTATTTATGTTAAAAATAATGACTGTAAAATGACAGTAAAAGAAGAGTGTTATAGAAAGATCCACATTTGCAAATTGACAAATTGACCCCTGCCACAAAAATGCAACATAAATCAAGACAGTCTTCATCAAACACAGGGAAAAAGAAGATGACATCTTCTATTACTTACTTATTTAAACAGAAATAGTACAGACTGTATGTGATGATTCATTTTAAAGAAGGATGCAGATAACTGCTTCACTAACCTTATTCCATACAGTATAACACGAAGCTTTGGTATCACCAGACCACAAACCCAGAACAATTTGCTAATGCATTTTTCAGGGCATCAACGTGTCAAACACTAAGGAGATAAAATTCTCTTTTTGACAGTTTTTCATTGCAAAACTCAACTTTTCAAGCTGTGTATTTTTCCAAAACTTATGTATATGAATGCACCGCACTCTGCAAATAGATGTGGAAACTTTCTAAAACGGCAAGAAAATAATTATTACAAATAAAAAGTAACCACTGCATTGAGTCTTTGCGATTTCAATCATAATTGACACTTTTCTAATTAGTATTCTTAAGATCTGGCTTTCACTGCTCATCTTACCTTCAGGTGCTTCAGTTGGTGGCTTGACAGTGAAGCACCTCGTTGTTACAAGTGACAGAACCTGGAGGGCGGTGAAAAAGACGAAGTTTTCATTCCATCGCCGGTTTGTCATGTTGTCCGGCTTCGGGTGATGATAACCGATCAGCTGAAATCACGGCAGCATGAGCATAATATAAAGCCAGGCAGCTGATGTTCAGGATGTGAGTGATTTCCTGCAATATGATCAACTCCTAAAAAAAACCCCAACAAATCCTACCCAGACTTCTGGCTATACGATACTACTGCTGTCATGAACTTTTTAGTCAACGATTTTCAAAACACAAAGGTAGGACGTCCGCCTCTCCGGTTTAAAAACCATACATTAGATTGTTAGTGAGAAGGATGAAAGGAAAAGCAGACAATTGAATCTACCAAACTGACATCGGTTAAGCTCTCTTTATGGAACAAAGTCTTGTCTTCTGTCCTCGCATGTGCTTTAAGCAGAGGATTCCGCGAGGTCCTAAAGCCGAAATATCCCAACAGATTTTTGAGCCTCGCGAATGTGCTGTATTTGCTCTCAAGAAGCGAAATAAAAAAGGTTCTGTAGCACGTATTAAATAACGATGGCTGTGGTGATGTTATATATTTTTTTAATTCAAGTAATATTTTAACGTCTTATCGAGTAATAGCTTAAAATGATTTTTTGTGGATCATTTGATCAATGATATCAAATAATATTTACTGTAAACAGTCTGACAATTCTGCACATTTTTGTACACCGAGTTCAGCATGTAAAATGTAATATGTAAAATGTTACATGTTAATGTAATATGTAAAATGTAATAAGGATAGCTTAATTGCTGTTTTAAAATGACATTAAAAATACTGTGCTTTGAAGCCTTCTTTTTCATTTCTATTCTTTGTTGAAAATAAATATTATTTAATGGTTTCTTTCTTTTTCAATTGTACAATTGGTACTAAAGGAAGAAGCTGATTCCGTATTAATCTCAAGAGGTTCAGTGACAACCTGCAAACTGAACCTGTAAGTTAATGATCAACCCCAAATTTAGATTCAGTTTTAATTTGTATTTAAAAACTTTCAATTTAACCTGGATATACCCAGTTAACCAGCAATCTTTGTGCCAATGTCAATACGAAATAAAGAATTAGAGTATGTATATATGTATACAGTTGGCACAGAGGTTAACATTGCTGTGTTGTAGTGCTGGGGCCTTGGGTTCAATCCTGGACACGGGGTGCTGTCTACACATAGTTTGTTTTTTCACTCCTTGTTCATTTAGGTATCCTCAGGGTGCTCCAGCTTCTTCCTACAGTCCAAAGATGTGCTGGTAGGTTAGGTTGCTTCTGGGAAGATTGGTATGTGTGTGCATGTGTAGAGTATGTGCATGCTCTGTGATAGACAGGCTTCTCATCCAGGATGTATCCTGCATCGCTCCCTTTGCCTGCTGGGATAGGCTTTGGCTCCCCTGCAATACTATATTGGATAAAGCAGTTGGAAAATAAATCGAATATAGGTCAGATGTCCAGAAATCTGTGCAGAATCCTCACATATGCAGTCCTCATTTATGTGTCTGTTTTTGGTCTTCAACGGGATAGATTATGTCATCCTATCCTGCCCTCAGAGTTCCACACCCCATTGAGATGGGTGTATGTACAGTATATGATTACAGAGATATCGATCATAGCCTTTGAGTCCACTGTAAAGTCACTTCATTTTCTCTCTCTAACATCTGTTTTCATTAATACACACTGCAATGTTCTTTGTGCTTAATGACACTAACAGATCTAAAAAAAAAGGCTGACCTAATTGTCCTTTTTTATTCAAAGCAGATCCTTTGTAGGGGCCAAAATAATATAAGGCTGGTCAACAATATACGATCATTGGCTGACCCATAACTTATCAACAGCACCTGTTGTCCGACCAGCCAGCCCTTGTTAAACAAACTCTGTGCTTGCTGGTTATCTACGTACCGAAGGAGCAGAGATCTTCTGAGGTGATGCAGCTGGAAAAAAGGCTGTGCCAGAACCTGAAGTCCCCACTTTAGATTAGCTGACTTAGCTGATTATTATTGGGATATCATTCTGAACAAACACGCTGGAGGAAGCGTGGAAAGGTATTGAATAAAAGCCAAAATAGATATCATATTATTATAATAATTGCTTACACTTATATATCGCTTTTCTGGACACTCCACTCAAAGCACTTTACAGGTAATGGGGACTCCCCTCCACCACCACCAATGTGCAGCCCCACCTGGCACCAGAACACTCACCACACATCAGCTATCAGTGGGGAGGACAACAGAGTGATGAAACCAATTCATAGAGGGGGATTATTAGGAGGCCATGATTGGTAAGGGCCAATGGGAAATTTGCTCAGGACACCAGGGTTGCACCCCTACTCTTTTCAAGAAATGCCCTGGGATTTTTAATGACCACAAAGAGTCAGGGCCACAGTTTTATGTATCATCTGAAGGACAGCACCTGTTTACAGTATAGTGTCCCCGTCACTATACTGGGGCATTAGGACCCACACTGAGCACCCCCTGCTGGCCCCACTAACAGAGTAATATGGCTGCGGGCAATCATGTATTATACAGTATCATACAGTTCCCTCCAAAAGTACTGGCCCAGCAAATTCAACATTCTTAGTTTTACCTTACAGTCAATTAATTTGAGTTTGTGACCATGCGATTAGTTTAAATCATAAGTATACTATACATTTTTACTTTTGGGTTATTACATGCATACATTTGAACCAATAACAAAAAACATGCTTTGTGTATAACCCAGTGGTTTCAAGTGACTAAAAGTATTAGGACACATTCTCTTTAAGTAAATTTCAGTGTTAAAGTCAGTATTTTTTATTGCTTTGTTGACGTGCAACTACAGTATAGCTGCATGAAGCTTGTGACCTGTAGATCTTACCAAACTCTTTGTGTGATAATTTGAGATGTACAGTATCACAGCAGCCAGAATGGGTTCCTGCCTCTTCTGAGAACTTTTAGAATAGTAAGGAAGTGTTTTCTTCTGCAAAACATTTCTGTAAACATTAGTTGTCATCATAAGTTGCTTCTTTAATACAGATCTGTGAGTCAGTTTTGGTCCAGGCTTTGCGTCAGTTTTGGTCCAGGCTAAGTCATGCTTCACCCTTGAGGAAATGTTATTTGGAACATCTGCCTGTACTTTGGTAAAGGTTTGTCGTATTCATATAGACTCTCATGTGTCTATAAACCCTTGTTCCAAAACTATCCTGGTTTATATTTGTACTTGCAAGATAGTTCTGAAGAATGGCTTACATGCCTGTCTTTTGCCTGCTTTTATGTGTTGGGCTTTTCCGTAGAAATGACATAGAACCTTTGTTGCCTGTGGGTCTTGGCTGCTCGTCCGGCAGCCAATTAGAGGCTCTGTTGATACACAGATGGCTAAATAGAGAGCCTGAAGCCTGGTCCCCATCGTATTGGCCAAAGAGGCAGGATTTAGCTCTTTCCTTGGATGGTAGATAGCCTCCTTCCCAGCCATTGTAACAGACTGGCCTGTTGGATAGTGGCATGTGCCTTGAAGTGTACAGACATATTGACTGACATCTGATGATCCACGTTTGAATGGTAAATCTGCAACAGCGAGGACACACATTGGCTGTGACTGGCTTACACTGCTTGTACCTACGCTTTGTGCTGGTTGATGTTAATCCCTGCTAAGCTTGTCAGTCCAGGTAATAGGACTTTATCACATAAAATCAGTGTTTGAACAGGTCAGTGCTAGGAATGTGCTGGTCTACAGTACTTGCAATTTACTGCATGGGATAGCATTAAAAATCATTGAGTTCAGGTTTCAGAAAGCTTTGAATAACATTTTCTCTATCTGCTCAACAGTGGGAGCAAAATATTTTTGTTCTAGGGCAATAATAATTGTTTTTGGGACAGTAAAAAATTATGTTTTAAATGAAAGGTGCTGGCAAGCTGAAGTAGGTGTTTTCATTATTGGCCGGTACTAAAAACAGACTTAAAGGGTTTGGTGGGAAAGACAGGTTTGTTGTTTTCAACGTTCCAAACTATGAAAAGTAATTCTTTGGCGGTTTAAAGAGATTTTTGGGAATATATTGCCTTGCACAATGTATAACAAATGTCAGTTGAAGCAAATTAATTTCTTGCAGTACATTGCATTGTTAACTAAAGTAACTGTTTTTACAACACAAATACAATATACATGTATTTCTTCTTACATTGAACTAATTTCTGCATGCAGAGTAATCATTTTTTAAAATATATTTCAAACTCAACCTGTTTGGAAAAAATGTCTCTCCCAAACTGTACCAAGATGTACAGTACTAGAAGGAAACAAAGAGATTATCAGACTACCTTTTATATAAACAACTAACTAGTAACTCTTAACATTCCAGAGTTGCACCCACTTTTCTGAAGCTCAGGACTTATATGCACAAGTTGTCCTATCTTACCTATAATGCCTATAATGTGAGGCAAAATGTATCCTAGAGAATTAGTGTATCTAGGCCTTGACTGAAACAAGATGTCATATCTCATGTGAAGCACTTCTTTGACAATGACTTCTTTCACTTCATTGGGCTGCCTCCTGAGTTCCATTAGCTAGGAATTCCTATTTCAAAAGTCAAATTCCTCAAACCTCAAGTTAGATCTAAAAGCAGTGAAAGTGAAGAAAAATTCAATTTCCTCAATAACTTGATTTCTTGTCAATTTGTCTTGGCCATTCAAAAAATAAAAGAATACATTAATAAAGTCTTTATGAAACTTTTTACAACTTTTTACTGTTGTATGTCTTCCATGAAAAAAACATAAGTGTGTCAAAGTACTGTAAAAAAGGAGCATACTTTATCTTGCCACAATGGGTCATAACTAAGAAGAGAAGAAATTCATTATATTGGGCTAGATTTAAACAAACAGCAGAGCACAGAAAAATAACAGTGCATTGTAAAGTGAAATATTAGCTGTGTTCCTATTTTTTTGAGAACCAAATACTATAAAGTCTCTAATAAAATTAAAAGCAAGGTGTTTTTTAAGAAAAACGTTTTAAGCTGATCTAAAAGTAGCATACTGTACTTCACATAAATAATTTGGTCTTTAATTTAAGATACAGTTTTTTCACAATATGTCCTCACAATATTCACACCACTGCATTAAAAAGTGCATTTCACTCAAAGACGTGTCATAATATATAGTTTATTGGAGGATACAAAATATCACAGCCTTTGGTCGACAATTTATTGAGGAATAAAAAGCATGGACAATATCTAAAATACTTTTCGTGACAAAAATTAAATAATTGAATATACAGAATTATGTTTTATTTAAAAAGACAGAAGATAAGTGCACACCCTTAAAAGACAGATGACCTACTGCTGCAGCAATCTGAATTTCAGTTGACTTCAACAATCAATAGGCAGTGACTCAATTTAGATTCTTGTGCAGTATTTTATACATCGTTCTTACCATTTTAATGCAATTTTCAGGAAGTTACAGATTTCTTGTATTACACACATTGGTTTGGGGTGGGATTAAATCTACAGTATTAATACTACATGTAACTTCAACACATTCTCACCTTAAAACCTGTTTGTTGTTACCTAATGAATTTTCCATGTTTCAAGCAAACCTGTTTGTGAAGTGATGCAGTTTATTATTGGGAAATATAATTTGACGTACTAGACTCGCACATGCTGTGAACCACCAGCCTAATATCAACATCAAAACACACACAGAAAAGATTTGGGGGTTAGAAAATACGAATCTCAACGCAAACCATTCTGTACTGTTAAATATGATTGTTTTTGCTAGTGTTCTTGTGATGTTAATCTTAAGAAATTGTCTTTAAAACCTTTTTTAATCCTACAGTATTTTTACCTCAGAGAAATTGCAACAAGTGGTCCCTCTGGCTGAGCGAGGATTATGTAGTGTAACATCCCTGTTGAGTCTCGGATAGTGTTAGTAGTTTTTCCCAAACCACTGCCCAAAAAAGGGAGACTCTGCCTGGCTTCATTCATTGTTGTCCTAATGAAGTTCACTGTGTGAACCCACTCAATTCAAGCTTTTGTGAGGTGAAGAGATACAGGTAGCTACTAAATAGAAATGTCATGCAGCACTTTTCATATATTTTCATTGCCTTTCATATTTGTCATTCCAATAAAAAGGTTATTCAGGAGTGAGGTGGAATGAAATCACATTTCTGGTAGGTTAATGAATCGAGTTTCGGATTACATAAAACAATATTGCCATTCACGTAAAAATAATACCATCCATTATATAAAGCTCTTTATGATGATGGGCTCTCATTGGTAGCACGAAGTTCATTTTTTGCTGCAAAATAGTCTCAGATATACAATTTCAAAAGCAGTGGTATATATTTAATTTTAGTCTACTGTCTGAAAGCAGCACAGGAAGAGAACTGCATATACTGTAATACTGGTGGAGCCAATGGTTGCTGTGGGTGCTCTCTCCATTCCACATTCTCTGCTTTTGACTTAAGAAAGCAACGGAAGAAGCATTTCACTACTTGACTAAGAGATTTGCAAATCCAGCAGGCTGCCTGAGAATCATTCCTCATCAGTCACCATTTCTCTGCAGGATTTGATCCAGCAATTTCTAAGAAAAAAAAGATACAATAGTTTTTACATTCATCAGTTGTAACAGTGTATTAAAAACAAATTCCCCAAATTGAATGCGTTTGCACTGAACATGTCGTATACAGTCCTCTAATCTGCTGCTGTGTTGTTTCTATTAATCCAACCATAATCCATATTTATAAAATGTCTCACAAACCTTGAAAACAACCCTTTTCTCACTCAATACTTGCATTCTATGACCTAGTATGTTTCCATCCGTTGCCTCACAGTACCTGCTTTTTCCATCTCTCTTGTTCACCTGTCTGATGCTGGCATTGCTCAGAACCTCTCCCCTTTTCTGTGAATGTGTATGTTCCACTGCATGGTGGGATGAGACACACCATATAGCAGACAATTCAAGTCTGAGTGGGAGGAGCTGACTCTGTGCTCCTGCTCATGTACAATTCTTGCTTGTTATTTAACAGGCCTTTTGTGTCATCGGGACCATCCAACAGTCGCTGTGTACACACTTGTCACAGACCACAAAGAAGTTGTTCATGGTTCTGCACTTGGCTCTGGGACAGCGGGAGCTCATATGAAACATAATGACTGTATTCTGTGCTAAAATCAATGGGTATGGAATGAATCCAGCATACAGTAGGTGCACACAGGCCCAAGGGATGGAGAGGGTGGCAATCAGATTGTCAGCTTCCTGCAAAGACCACGTTAGACAACATCCAATTCACAGTGAGATTTCCACTTATCTTTTAGACATAACTCTTAACCTTTTGTCAAGTGAAAGCTTCCTCTCTGTTTTTCAAAACTAGGCCTGGAGGGTTCCTAGCCAAGGCATATCTGAAAGTTTCATTTTTTTTTAAATGTTGTCAATGACAGAGTTCAGCAGGGAGACCAGCTATCCTTCAAACCACCTAGGCAAGCACCAGAAACAGATGAACCTAAGAAGGTTTTAGTTATCTATAGTCTCCTTGAATTTTCTCTTTTGTTTCCTCCATGCCTGAGAGACCTCATGGCCAGCTCACTCCAGCACTGGAAGAAAAAGAATCACTCAGGTGAGACACATTGCCCGACTTCGGACTTCCCAGGCCTGGCCATGGGGATGGTTGCTGGCTTACAAGCTGACAGCATCATCCCCCTTAATGCAGATCAAGTTTGTCAGGCAAGGACACAGAGTCTCTACAGGGCGGCAGGAGACCTGTCAATAAGAAGGCTCATGAAAGAGGACCGGGGCACTTCACTGCACAGGTTCTCCTGTCGCTAAGGAGACGGTGCTTTTTAGAAAAAATACATCTGCAGACTTTATACTGTTTATTTCCAAATATAAGGGAAACAACTCATTTTTAACAATTAAATAAAATACGGTTATAAAATAAACAAATATAAATAAAATAAAAACCCGCTTTTAGTGTCATTCCTTTTTTCATTGATTTACTTCAAGGGTGGAAGTTATACTCTTCTAGAGGTTATCATTTCCAATTTAATAATTGAAAGGTTAATGGTAAAAAAACAAACAAACAATTACTGGTTTAATCATTTCAGGTGGAAACTGAAGGATTTCGTTCAAACCCAAACAAAATATTGACAGAGCTAATTTGTAAGCCATTCAATATGGATACGTGCCCAAGCCTATAAGAAATACAGATGCGTAGCAAATGTTTCTGTAGTAAAACCATTCTCAAAACATATTTGCTTGCATTAAAAAAAAACACTTTACAGTGTTTGAAGTGAATGAACTATAACGAAGAAAGGAATTCAGCACTGAATAGCTAAACACTGACCTCTCCTGGGCAGAAAGATAATTTTACTGCACATACTGTACAATCATGAATCAATGGGGAAATATTTTCTGTGTTTATGTAAGATGGAGAAGTATCCAGAAAACAAAAATAAGACAGACCCTTAGCCCCTCTGATCTTATATTAGTATCCATAATTAAAAACCTGTTGAAGGCATTATTTTTCTTTGCCTCTGAGCTCTTTCAAGATGCAATGGCTGCATGTAACAGTAGTCGTGTTCCTCGAGTCTTGAGCTTGACTGATATGGCCTGCCTAAATACTCATCTTAATTCCATTGTTGGAAATAATTTTGCATTTCAATACCTGATCTACTGTGGGGATGTTGGCTTTCTATCCCAAAGGATCACAGAGTATTTTAGAAATACGAAGGGAAAGGGACCCTGTTTATCCAGGTTGATGCTGCACATTGGTGGAGTCCCCATTACCTGTAAAGCGCTTTGAGTGGAGTGTCCAGAAAAGTGCTATATAAGTGTAAGCAATTATTATTATTATTATTATTATTATTATTATTATCCACCACTGTAGTGCAGTATCCACCTGGATCAGATAGTGAGTGAGGAACTGCTTCATAAGGGCAATTAAGGTAGAAGTTTAGGTAGACCAGATTGTGTGCACCTACAGCGAAACAGACATGGAATGGTAGTTTCTAGGACACAGTGACTGTAACTACCAGAGGAGGACATTAGTTATGGAAATACTGGTCTAGAAGGAATAGTGCCCCTACCAGCACATGAACACTACCCACAATTGCAACCTGGTGTTATTTAGAGATCTTGCATCCCAGTATTAACCAGGCCAAGGTTTGCTTAGCTTTTGAGATCTGATGAGAACAGGTCACTAACATCTAACCACTTTATAAAAGTAACATTAATATTAAATTACAAATATCTACGAACATTAAAGTCTATTTCCAGTTTTTAATTTATTTCCTTTTTTTGCTAAGATCTTTTTTTCTTCATAGTGTTCAAAATCAGTCAGAATTTAAACATTCCAAACTGCTATCTACAGTATTCAATTATGTTGTAAATGGTTTCAGGCAGCCTTTGTCTATTACTTTTATCATTTGCTTCAGTAGGGAGAAACATGTCTTTAAATATTGAATTTCCTATCACTACAAAAAAGACATCCATTCCAAAGTTTAATTGAGCTTATCAGGCAAAGGTGTCACTGTTACATACAAACAGCCTCCCGGTAATGTACACGTAATCTCTACCAAACATGGGTTATAGTGTAACAAGGATCTGAAGATCTAAGCCCACAGGACTATGATTACCCAATATTAAGTGTGTAATTGAAACATGGGTGGAGTTTGTAGTCTTTATTATTGCAGGATTATTACTTTGTGTTATTCCATTGCTTATAAATTTGTCTTACATTATGCATTTTATAAGAAATGCATGAATCTAAAAAAAATGTAGATCTAAGTCTGTTGCGTGTTGTGGGATTGCATTGTGCCTTTCAGGTCCATCACTTGCTTCCAGTATGCATCGAGCTGCAATATTATATATAGACTTGGATTAAATAAAAAATTAAACTAAAAATTAAAAAAACACAAGCACAATGTGTGATGGAAGAGCCCCATCGAGAGGAAGCAAGAGATCTCTGGCAAACAAAATATCAGCATGTACTGTGCCTGACAGGCAGGTATCTAAAGGGTCTGATTTAATGTGCAGTATAAAAGAAATATCAAAGCAGAAAAAATATTTTTGTACAAAACATGTTGATACGTGCATATTGAGATTCTGTTTATGTTAATTTACTACAGTATTCCTGCGCAGAGATTTGTTTTGCCAGTGATGCTCTAGCCAAGTCAAGATAGTGAGAAATTATTTTCCTGGCACTTGCGCCCTGAGTCAAATCGGAAGAGAGAGTTTCATAAGCCATTGTGTGTTCTCCGAAAAATACCCCTTTCCAAAAACCTCTTGGCCCAGTGGTGTCAGCCCCTGAGTCTTACCTTTTTAAACAGCTCAGCCCGCAACCTGTTTGTCTGCGATACCACTTTTTTCTTTTCTTCTTCCTTTTTCTTTTTGACTTCAGGCAGCTTGTTGTAAATCCTGTCAATATTTGCAATCAAGAGAAAAGGCAATTCAGTCTTTGCACAGAGCAGAGAGGAAAGCAGCAGCCCCCTTTGTTGAAAGGCTGCTCTGCCACAACCACAATCTGGAAAACAAAGAAGAGGTCTTTATCACTGTGAAAGCAGATCAGGCAACCTGGACTAAACGATAAAACCAACCATGCAAAGTCCATTCCTCCTTCAAAATGGAATTCCTTGCTTATGGTTCTGGGATTTAAGATTGGTTATCACACCAGTGAAAAACCAAACTGCTAGACAAAAACATTAAATCTGAGGTAGTCTTCTGTGTGTGTGCAACAAATTCAGACACATATACAGTAGGTACAAACTAAGTAAAGCAAAGTATGTTTATTGTCATACTTGTCTTTATGTGCCCAGTAGTTTATCTGGCTAAGGATAATTTAATGAGTAACAGTCAAACATGGCAATCTAATATCTAAACAAGATGGCATGATTTGCACTGATTAAGAGAAGTCCTTAATGTAGAAATAATAACTAATTTTACCGCTTAGATCTCAGTTGCATCTCCTTCTCTGAAATGGCTCTTTCCCTGGGTTTAAAAAGATTATCTGCAAAACAAGTTACAGACAAAACGTTTAAACTGTAGATTATTACATATTAGTTCTATTTTGTTTATATGCTCTATTTATTCTGTTGGTAAAAAGTAAATGTGTTTGCAATAGAACAGCTTTTCTTTACTGAAATATTTTGTTTCCAAAATGAAAACTATTTTTCTTGCAGAAGCAGCTTATGGATCAATTATTTTCAACTTCTGTCCACTTCAGTATGATGTGTTTAACAATTACCAAACTTTGACAAGCATAGTGTATCACAAATTACACAGACCTACAATGGGTTTTCATACATCTGTCTGAATTCTGTCACAGCTTTAAAGGATACAAAATAAGCCGCCTGCAAGCTAGAATTGACATTATGGTAAATTACAGCACTGCACAACGATCTAAAGTAATACAGGTCTTGGGTAGCTAAACTGTAGCAGGATCCAACGTGGAATATAAAAGAGGCGCATTGATAGTTTTTTTTTATATGGCGAAACCCCTCTTTTAAGAATTTCAATAAACCTTGAATCACAAAAAATATTTTTGTGAAGTGACTGAGGTGAGAGAAAATAGCGCAGATGTGAGGTATTTACATGTAAATGATCTGGAATTTTAAATTACTCATTCTTGTAAAACAGCACACTGAATGGCATATTTTTGCTTTGTTTTGTTTTACAAGTAATTGATGATGCATAAAGTAGCATTTTTACAAAATTCAATTAGCATTCAAAGAACAACAGACTCAAAAGAAACGCTTCAGTGCAGCTTAAATACACAGCTTATTGTTTTAACAAATGCATCAGGCACATTGTTATGTAAAGCAAAACTTGTACATTTTCATTTGAAATAATGTCTGCTCTATAGCAGGCTGACTTTCTCTTCTGAGAATCTGTCATCCTTGCTCGTTTATACTTTTTCATTTATACATATATATTGTAATTGCCATTTATTACATTATATGAAATGTAATACAGTAATACACATATCACTGACATTTTATTAAATTAAGGCCGGCAATGAGATTGCCCATATCCAAGAGAGATACATCAGTATGCTGTTAATATGTTGCAGTTATAAAGTTTGTCCAGCAGAGGACTCAAAACACTACAAAAATTAACATTTCTATATCAGTTTTCTGTCCAAGTGCAGTTCAACATCTTGTATGTCTTGTATGTCAACTTCTTGTAGTTCATGCGAATAAAATGCATTGTGGTTGGCAACTTCATAATTACTTTAACAGGAGCACCTTTCACTGTGGTTGTGGAGCAGTTTAAAATAGAAAGTCTTATGAAAAATATTTTTTGTTTCTTTGGGTCTGCTGGGCCTTCTATTGTGCAGCCAGTGCCTGATAAGTGGGGGAACAATACTAGGAAGAAGTCGTGACATATGATGTCATGTACCAAAATACATCTGCATCGATGAATTTAGATCTTTCCTGTTTTTGGAGAAACAAATGGTAAAAAGCTGTTAAACTGCTGGCAGAAGGCAAGGGGAATACCTACAGTTCATTTGCCCACAAATGATCAATCATGTTTGAAAAGCAATTTACTAAAGGAACGTTTTGCAACATAATAATCTTCTCTGCTAAAACGATATTATACTTTAGTTCATTAGTGTAGTGCTTCCCAAACAATGTCAGATTCCTCCCTCGCAATCTCGACTTTCGATCCAAGCAGCAACTAATCATTACTGTTAAAATCATTACTGCACCACTGCACATACAGCAGTGCTTGTGTGTCTTGCTCATTACCATCAATGAGGACATTAGTGAATGATACACAATATAGGCAGTATAAATACTGAAATTGATGATCAGCTGCTGACTGGATCAAATGCCTGGAGTTTCAAAAACTTTCAGAGAAGACCCCAAGCCACCTTTTGAGCAACATTGTGTCAGTGTTTTCACAAAGGCTGATTAAGAGGGCGGAGCGCCCACTACAAAATCCTGTTGGTGGATTCCCACATCCACAAACAAAAAGACAGGGGATGGAGAGGAACATGGCAGGTACCACTAAGAGGGTGGGGCTTGGTGCAGTGCCTCTTCTTGGTGCCAAGAGTGGGGCCCTGCGGGGACACGTCTGTGATCTCCAGGGCTCTCCTCTGCAGCGCCCGCTGCTCCAGCTGCTTCACTCTGCCCCTGGAGCGGCTAATGAAGTCAGGGCGATAGAGCTCCAGCGCTTCCTGCAAAACAACAGCAGTCGCCAGGGTCTGATCCCACCATCTCAGACCATTTCCAAACTCAGACCAGGTTCTGTATGCAGATTTCTTCCCAGGTTAAACCTGCTGAAGAGCATGTATCAGAGGTTATGCCAGACTTACTTTCAGAGTGAGGGCTGTAAGTGTGACATCCACAGGGCCATGGACGTATTGCTTCTGCTCCTCAGGAACGGGGCTGGGGAACTCAGGTGTATCCTCGGGCATCACGCAGGAGGAGGGGTCCTGATTAACTTCTTTCTCAAGATTGGACACTTTAACATGTCCCTTAGCAGCTTCTCCTGAGAGGAAAGATAACAAGACACAAATGTAACACAACCACCCTGTTAAATAATAGAGTATAGCAGTCTAATAATAAGGGCTATATTCAAAAAACACTGTTTGTTCTTCTTATAACAAATAGGATAAAAATGGCACTGTGCAATTCCTGTTGTTTAACAGGAAAAATTGAGCACTTCAAAGTGTTTTATTTTTACATATAATTTTCTGTCTTAATAGGAAGTTACAGTACATTTACAATACAAAGATGACATTTTATAGATTTATCTAAAAACATTAATTAGTTTACACCCTTTAAATTACAGAAACATCATGTTCTTTTCAAATAATGTGAAATATTCTAATTCATGTTATGCTTACAGTGTAACCTTGAATAGCATATCCAGATTTTGTTGTACAGTATATAAACATCTCTAAAAAAGGTAAATATAATAAGGTAAAGAGATTTTTTTAAAGATATTATACTTTAAATAGTGCCCTTAGATTGTTTAAAACAGAAAAGAGAAACAGTATTACCCAAAGTGTCTTGCGTTTTCTTTAAATATGTCGCATCCGTGCAAACTGGTATCTTGCCAAGTTGTTTTTGGATTTTCAGATTGGCTATCACAGATGCAGCCCGAAGACTTAATGATAAGTCAGGAGCCGGACAGGAACTTCTTTGATATGGTACGTGTTCTGGAATGGAAACAACAATGGTTAAATCCTGATTAGAACCTCAATTCAAATCTGATTGAAATCTGATTGAAATGTGACTTTCTTAAAGCATGCAACCAAAACATATGCTACATAAATTAATATGAAGAAAGCATGAGGATGAGCAAATAAGCTACCAGTAAATTCAGTAAAATCTCTAAAGAAAAAGACACCTAAATATTTACCACTTATTTTCTAAGTAGTTGTATCATCATGGGTTTCAATTCACTTACAGAAGATAAACTTAAGGATCGCATTACTTTTTATCATCCAGATGTTTTAATTTTATGACTATGTAGTATGTAAACCATCTAGAATTCTCAAATAAATACATAAAGAATAAACTGTGTTCATCAGTGAATTAAAGTATGCCCAATCACTTCTAATAAATGTTTTTTTAGCTTTCAGCAATCTGTCCCTCCTGCCAAGGCTTTCAAAACCCCCTGAGCAGCTGCTCATAATTACACGCTGCTGAGCCGAGAATTCATCACACTCACCGCCTGAGCATTGGAAAATAAAACAGAGCTAGACTGTGCATGGCACTATTCTCATGATATCTGTTGTGAAGTTGGTATTGTCCATATGTGCCAAGCTTATTCCCTCCAACATCACTGCACCTGCTAAACACATTCTGATCTGAACTAGGTCTGATAGTAATGACAGGCCAGGCAAAGTGACAATACATATGAGTCTTTGACCTAAATGTGACACTTTTATGTATCAGTGTACCCCTGTGCGCAAGATGTCTACTTTAAATACACTTAGTTTTGTTTTTTTATGTTTAAGTAGGGAACTGTGTCACCATTTGCAGGCAGCAAGGCAACAGGTGAAGGTTCGTTCCATGGTGAAAGTAAAGAAAAGAAACACGATGAAACCTTTATAAGCATGGACACATCTGAAGACGGTTCTACAATCAAAGTGTGGTGTTTCTTTTCTTTACCTTTCACAATGGAATGAACCTTTACCTGATCATTTTCTTTAGGCATACTTATATTTATTGCCTTGAAAAGATAAAATCATGGCTAGTTAAATTTGGCAGAAATTAATGATCCAGCCATGTCAGTCTGTTGCCAGAAAACGCCTGGTTTCAAATCCCGGTCAATGCTGAGGGACAATCTTTTCCAATTATAGAATATAAGTATACTGTTTAGATTTTTATTAATTTTTAATTGTGTTGAGCAGTATGTTAAATATTAAATTAATGAAACAAGAAAGTAGGGCTATTTTACAAAAATAGAATTATTCATATATTAAGTATCTAAAATATATATTATTTTTATACTATAGCTTGTTGTCAACGTGATGTGCTTCTTTCAGGTTGACATCCATATTGAGATAGTCTACATTTTGTCTTAATGAAAACTTCAGCAATGAGTAATTGGCAAACAAATTAACTTTATACTGGTAGTTTTGACAGAAGCTAAGTAGAAAATCATAGTGTACCTTGGGGTTTATTAAAAGTAGGTGGTTGATTGGTCCTACTGCGCTGCTGAAAAGCACCCTTGTAATTTAAATTTGTATCTTCTCTCACTTTTTGTGTATATGAGAAACATGTATCACTTTCTGTTGCACCACCAGAAAAAGACTGCTTGCATAAATGAGAGCCTGACTCTGCAGTATCGACACCATTGGAATTTTTGGGAAGAGTGGGCTCTTGTTCCTGTAATTCAGGAGAAGTGATCCAGTGCAGACTAGCTTCTGTGTTTTTATTCAAACCAGGGCACCAAAGACCATTCTTAGGACCAAGACGTTCTTCATTTTGGCCACCTCCCATTTCGGCTTGATCTGCTTTGGGGGATGTTCTGCTCAGGTACAAAGAAAGCGCAGACCTGTGTACCTCCTCTTCTCTGTCGTTCTCTGGTTTAGGCAAGGAAATGGAACGGAACTTCTCCAAGTACAAGACAGAATTTGCAGACTCAGCTGGTACTTCAAGATGGGCACAGGATCGTACTAAGCCTTGGGGTAGAGAGGACAAAGAATCTTTACTCTGCCAAAGATGAGAGGACACGTTTTCTTTATTTTCTCCTTCCGCATAACTATGTCTGAACTCAAGTGGTTTTACCCTCCTGATCCTTTCACCTTCTGTGTAACTTTGCCTGTATTCAGTCACCTTTATTATGGTGGCCTTTCTTCTTCGGATAACTGGTTTGCAGTTCCTGTCCACTAAGAGGCCGTCCAAGGTAGCAGTAGAGGCAGGCTGGCCATCATTAACCTCCGTCTGAGTAAGAGTGGATGTATCCTGCTGTGATGAAGTGTTAGGTAGCTGTTCAACTCTTCTAGTTGTTATTGTGATGGATGAGAAGCCTGCCTTCATCTTAGGAAGGCCTTTAGTCTCCCCAGGTGGTGAGTCTCCCTGATAGGCAATGCTGCATGTCTGTTCCAAAATTTCTGTTGCTTCCGGCTGTTCGTTTGGAAGCACGGAACTCCGGCGGGGCTCCAAACATTCCTTACTGTGTGACTTATCAGACCGAACTGAGTTAGAAAGCAGCGAAAATCCCGTCTTCTTGTCCTCTGATTTTTTTGCCTCACCCTCTGTTGTTAAAGGCACTTTATCCTTCGGTGAACCAAGGTTGTCATTGTTTGATTCCTGTGGAGGGAGAGAAATATTGTAATATATCTTCATTATATTTTGATAAAAATCTCTTCATCCACATCCATAAGCATAAGAAGTCTCTTTCTCTATGGCAGGGCATGGCAGTGATGTGGGGAAAACCAGTCTGGCTCTTAAAATTTTGTGAATCAAGAGTCTACTTTTTGGTCTGATCATTTGTTACTATGGTAATGTTTCCCTGCTGGGACATGCTCAGGCAAAAATTAACCACCCTTCCAGACAAAATAGAATTTAAACAGTACAGTGCCCCAGATAAATAGTAATGTCAGACTAAGCCAAGTATCAAAGGTTGACTGCACAGTGCATTTCTAACTACAGGTACAAGGAGTTCTGCATTAAACAGTTCTACTGTCCATAGTAATTCTACAACATTGTAAGCAGATGTTAACATACAAGTTAGGAGTCTAGGCTGATTTCAAACTATGTAAATTAACAAAAGGACAGCAATAGCTTTTTTTTTCTTAAAGAGTATCTTCATAAGGTCATTTGTTTAAACTGAATACAAGAGAGAATCACAAGGCAGGCCAATATGTTATGATAACCTACAGTAGAATGCCTTCAACGTGTGTAAACAACAGAGTAGGGTACTTACTTAATGATTTCCCTAAACAAACATATGAGAACATATTCAGCTATGTTATTGTATGTGTATTTTACGATTGGCATTTATTCTGAACAGAAAAATAAACTAATAGTGTTCTTACAAACTGAACTGAAACATTACGGTTGCATTCTAATGGAAATTAGATTCCCTGTAGTTATCTAAAGAGCAGCTATAAAATACAGATTAAGTACAATTTCACAGCAGTTTAAATTGGATTATTTATGCAACTATGGTTTGTACCGTTTCTAAATTCATATTTCCATCTTCTAATGAACAACAGATCTATTGGATAAAGTAACCCCATTTTCCTGTTTGGACTGGACACATACTGCATGTGTAAGGTCTTTGTTTTGGAATGACACTGAACTGCAGAACACTGCATAAATGCTGTGCAGGAGTTTTACTTTCAGAAGCACCTTTGCTTACTGTCTACAAAGCTGGTACATTTATTTTCTTGAGTTAATAATGTTGTGTACTTCAGTAGAACTTTTAACATCATCACACAGAATAAATTCTTACTTACTGTACTGTAAGTCCATATTTAATTAACTGTTAAGAAAAAAACACTATAACATTTAACATATAAACAATTGTGGGTGATATTTTTAAATTACCCATGTCAGAAAAGCAAATCAAATAACTCAATATTTAAAAAATAATGAATTATAACAAGAGCTTTAGAAGGCAACCATCAACCATGAAACATTCAATATTACTATTATTATTAAGGATTTCAAAGCAATGTCAATAAATGTAATTACTGCTTTGCAAAGTATTCCTTAAGCATTTAACCAAAAGGGCTTCCAGGATTTACAGCATGAATACAAATATGAATGTTATTCATGAAATTTGTTCAATGATGTCCTCAATAAAGTCTATAAAAAGCAACAGAAACAAGTTTTACCTGGTTGCTTTTTAAATTATGAACTGGAAATCTCCAGGTGCGCAATCCTGTGGAGTTTATACTGGAACTTGCCTGGTTTACATCCTTTATATCTATGAAAAGGAAAGACACAATAATGTCTTGCATTTGATTTGTATATAAAACATAGGTTTCTCTATTTGAGTGTGGTATTATAATTTTCAACATGGCTACATTACAGACTGGCAGGTTTCAATAAAATATTTAAACAAAGCACACCCTTTATGAATTATTTATAAATAAAAAATAAGCATTTTCCAAAAAAAAATTATCCAACAAGTACTGTAATAACAAATAATATTTTATTTCTTCATCAGAATTAATGAACAAGAGATTGTGACCAAATGGAGATAAAAAAAGACTAAAATGAAACACTTCCAGTACTTCCAATCAAAAGAAACCTAACTGCAAATTATGTATTTTTTATGGACTTTCCTTTCTGTAGTGATCTTGTTGTAGCACCAACAAAATGTAATGAAGTAACAAACATTTTAATAGTCCATATGGCGTTTTTAAATTTGTAATCTTTCTTTGTTTATCGCATTTGTTCACACTTTTAATATTAGCTATTGCCAATAATACTGCTATCAAAAGCAGAATTACTATTACTACTATTTCTTTAGCTACTGATAACAATAATATTATTTTTAAAATAGGGGGCATACTGGTAGATTATTTAACTTTTAGGAAAATAAGCCCTTGGTGTGAGGGAGTTTGTGTCAGTATTTCTGCCCTGCAATGGACTGGTGTCCTGTCCAGGGAGTACTCTGCCATGCGCTCATTACTTGCCAGGATACACTCCAGCTCCCCCACAATTCAGGGGAATTGGATGAAGTGGCTAAGAAATGGATGGATACTGTAGATGGATGATGAAAACAGAGCCACGTACTTGTGGTTCTCTAATTTGAAAAGCAAATACTGTATAACCAATGAGAATGCAAAACTGTTTCTTCTGTAAAGACAACCTGTTACCAACTACATATGAAGAACAAGGACAAACCCAAAGAAGGCTGAATGTTCTGTGAAAGACACCGGTCTCTGCTGTCCTGTGACAATCTACATCATATAGAAGGAGAAGCGCTTCAAAGGCCCATCTGGCAGAACAATAAGTGCTGTGACTTTTTGTTTGAGACTTAGGAAACAGCTGTGTGGCAGAAGCACAAAGTGATAGAATATAAGACACACAAAGATTGAAAACTGTGCTCATAGCTGTGCAACAAAATTGAAAGAAAATTCTAATAACCTTATTATCTGAAAGTATTTATTATTACATTTTATAATCTTATTGTGATATGTTCTGTATCTCCACCATGGCAATTTGTGTTATTTTTTAATTTAATTTTGAAACAATAATCAATTTGTTCCACTTGCAATAGACGGCAAAATGCCCTTTAACAAGTTCTTTCAAAAGTATTATTTTGCCTCTTGATATTATTTCCGGCACCTTACCTCGTATCTGTGGCAGAAGGCCTCCTTCACTGTCAGTCATGTGTCTCAACAAGTTATTTCGGTATGGATCAAATTGCTCACTGCTTTGAGAAACTGTTTACTTGTATTTGTTGGATATTATCTACCCATGCAAAGATTATCCTATGTATCATTTAAACGCTTAGTACTATTGAATTAATTTGTAAAAATAATTTCACTGAGAACTGGAAAAAGCATCCTGTATTTAGAATATTGTTTCCCCACATTTCCAGAAGAACCGGTTTTGATATTAAAAGTGACCACACTGCAGAACTCGTGCGCAAGTTTTGAATCTGACGTAGAGCACCTAATAAATGCAAATCAAATATTATCTCACAACAGAATGTCTATTTTAAGAGCTTTTTTTGTTTATATGGTGAATTTGTTTCAAAATAAAAAAAGAAATGTAATGATGACTAATCATTATAGTTGCCTATAATTATATTGTAATAACTGAACTATTAAGGTGTTTCATTCTTTTACGCATCTAGTGGAAATATGTCCCTTTAATTAAAATATTATTAATAGTATCATTTTATGGCATTTCGATAAACCACCCAGAGGGGTTTAAACATGTTTTGTCAATATAGCCGTCATTTTAAAGTATTAATTTAGCCAAATACGATCGATCACACGATTATTTAGTAAATTCACATGCAAACTAGCAGCGTATTTCTTTTCTTACCGGAGAAAAGACACCTGTTCAAGGAGGCGGAATGGCGTAGGCGTAAGTTTAAGTCTCCATTTCTAATACCGTTGTTCATAGGAAGGGAATTGCCACCGTGTCGCCACCACGAAAAGCTCGAATGCCGATTGTCTTCTGGCAAACATTAAGCAAAGTAAGATGCCAATCACATGTTTACCATCAAAACACCAACCGGTTTAGGTTCCGGCGTCACTTCAGCAAACTGGCGAAGCCACTTGTTGCAACAGTAACAGAAGATATTAACTGTGGGAGCTTAGCTGCACAACCCTAATGAATAATGAATCTTTTTTACCTCCTAGCTATGAGCAGTCTTCTCATGTATCACTGAGTTGGATCCCCTATTCATTTTAAAGGTCCTAAGGTTTATTAGAACAAAAAGGGTTTAGTTTAAACTGCAATGAGGATTTGTTGTGATTATTATTATTATTATCATTTACAATAATTATTTAAACTTAGCAATATAATTAATAATAATAATAATAATAATAATAATAATGCTGTGAGCTGAATTTAGTTAAGTGATAAAAAAATGCTGGATGAAAATAATAATTCCCTGATAAATATGCATATACGGTACAAGAGAGGACCTGCTTCATTCAACATGAAAGAGCAGTGTCCTCCTGTGTGACATGTGGCAGCCATGATGCACCAACAGGCCCAGTGCACAACATACTGTACTGTAGCAGGCAGACAAGTATGATACTGCTTCACCCATTCAGTTACTTTTGATTAGAAGCCAGATTAGACGAACCCAGAGTGGAATTTAGTCAAGAAGCATGGTTTAAACCGCACGGTGGTTTAAAAATTCTAGCCCAGAGGGAAGAGACCCACCTACTGGTCCACCAGCTCTGCTTTGTGCAGAAACCTGGTTTTCATTAGATTCTGAGATGTTACAGGATCTTATATGAGATGGTCACACTGCTGCCACATGTTTCCATGCCAAGTCGTACAGTATGTACAGTACAGAGCACATAAAGGAGAACAAACAATAAATAAATGACCAATTTCAAATTCAAAATTGTATTTGCTGCTGCAATACCTTCCATATACACTATGTGCTCTCACTCCATTAAACAAAGGTGAGAAATAACAAGAAGCTTTAAAATAAGGATCTTAAAGACAAGAGAAGATTTCCACCTGTACAGTATGTAGGGATTCACTAGATTAATATACCAATATAACCACCAGCCAAGTATGAAGCAGTTTACAATTAGCCAAAAATGGACTGAACTCTAATGAACTCTAATGGACTGTCTAATCTTTTCAGTTTTCTTGAAACTAGCTCAGAACTCTCAATTTAACTTTCTGATAACACTTTATAACTTTCTCCTCACACTTGACCTACTGTAACTTCTAACCCCTGGGCCTTCCTGAAAAATGATTCTACAGTATAATCACACCCACCTGCAGACCTTCCTTAAATAATCTGTTTCCTCACTATTTTCACTATAAAAAGGGGTCTGATCTTCTGTTACAAAATGTAATTTTGTTCATTGTGGTTATGACTATGGAATCTGGACCAAAGGGTCATAGGTCCCAGCTCTCTGTGAGACATTGCTGTTGTACTCTTGAGATAAGTGCTTTACTCAGACAACTCCTATATACAGTAAAGTGGTCTCCAGTTCACCATTGAAAAAGAGAAATTGTTCTGAAATGCCATGTCAACAAAATAAAGAATTTTAAAAATAGTGTATTTTCAGACTGGTTAAAGACCCATTTTGCCAACACCAGAGTTTCAGTTGTTGTTATGTTTGTTATGTTCTTGTTAACAGCACCCTGCTTATTGTTGGTTAATTACATTTTTATGTGCTGAGAGGGTGGAAATTGCCTTCAGCAGAAGAAAACAGTCAAAGCAATTCCATTCCTGCTTCCAGTATTAACTGCCATCTGCTGCCAGGACACACAGAAATTGTGATATACAAGCATTAGCAACCTGCTTTTCTCATAAAACGGTCGATGCCCATAAACACAGACACCCTCTGTTTATTCCTCACCCTTCCTAGCATTCAACACATGGTGAGTATGATTACACAGTATGATTTTTGACCCCAGTGCTTCAACCATTACTCTGAAAGCAGTCAAGTTGTGTTGCATGGCAGGTTTAAAAAAGAGATTTCTCTTAGCAGTTTAAGCATTGGGCTCATATGGGCTTGGAAATGACTTCCTTTTTGTCCTGCACACAAGAAACTAAGAATGATGTCTAGCTATTTCTGAACAAGCCCACAAATGGGAAAGATATTTCCAACATGTTAATGTTTTGTTTCATACTTGGTGGGGGGAGTGGTTGACTGTGTAAACAGTATTGGCAATGTAACTTCAGAGAAACAGAATACAATGGGACCTATGGCCTCCTTTCATTTGTGATCTTTCTGATCGCCCTCATTATATCTGATCTTCCAGAGGACTTGCCATTTAGAAAGTTTAGAAAGTAATCTTACAGTGTACCATGCCATGGAGTAATACAGAGGGATCAGTAAGGAAAAAGCTTTTGCTATGAGATTTCTGTAACGGGAGCTGGTCCTGACTCCCGTGTAGTGTGTAGTTTAGGACCCTGTGCAGACGGTATAAGGGGGGTGTGCAGGAAAACAAGTCTAAAAACAGTCCAAAGGGGGAAATCAGGGCTCAGTCCAAAATCTAAAACCAGGTGATCCATCCAAGAGAAGAAGATCAAAATCCCCGGTAAGGGGAACTCGATCAGGAGCACAAAAGTTAAAAGGATAATGAGGCCAGGCACTCTGA